GTGTCAAAAGGTGAAATTGTCCGACTGAACACTGTCCCTCAACAAAGAGTTCTACTACAGTAGGATACAAATAATAAAAAATAATAATTTAATAATAAACATACTAATAATGGTCCATTAAATAAAACATTGATGGTAGGCCTATAATATAATTAATACGAATAATATACGTTCATAGCTATTTTAAATTTTGCTTTAATTTGATGTTTGTGTTACCCTACTTCCTGTCTCATTGTAAAACGTTTGATTGTACTCACAAAATGGCCGCGCACTTTAACGTCAGTGGTAGCGATAGAAGGTAGGGCAGCTCAGCACTCCTCAGAGACTAGGCCTACTGAACGCGGTCTGCTCCCACAGCTACAGCTACAACTAAACTATAACCGGACCTAGTGATTAGGCAAACCAGCCCAAACCATGAGGGCATCTACCAAAACAATGACTACTGCCCCCAAACTAAGCACTATTACCCTGTTTTCACACGATACAGATTTGTTGAACTTTTTGTGAACTCTACAACTACTTCTTCCGCCACTGCAGGTACTGCGGTGCTTCAGTCTGACTGCTTATTTGATTAGAAAGCAGAAAAAAAAAAGCTGAATAATAAAATAATATTTTAAAAATGAACAGCTGGGACGATTTGATAAACAATGGATGTCATCTTTACACAGCCCACTGAAGTCTGCATACAGTGAATTTTACAGTTTTCCCATTAATTGAACAGGACTGATTTCTCTCCAGGAGGGTTCAAAATGACTTAGAATGCAACTTTATACACAACACAGTACACCCAGTAAGGAATTTGAGAGTGATTTATTTTTTGTGCTACAGAAGGTACTGTGGTACTGTTAATAAATTCAAGATGACTCTTCTGAATAAATCTTCATTTCTTACCTTTTTTTTTTTTTTTTAAACAACGTGCTCACCAAAGGCAGAGATGTGTGTTCTTGGTGAATTCCACACTGCATGTATTATCAGACGTCAGCATGGGAGTACATGTAACTTACAAACACCAGAATCTTTCAGAATCTTCAACCTACGAGACTGAAACAGGTGATCAAAACAAAAAAATAAAGACACTCAACCACAGTTCTGATCCTGTATTGATGACGTAACATTTCACAGTCTGTGTTATCGACAGCAGGCTGGACAATACTCACGTTAGCTGTTGCTTCGGTTATGACCCTGCCTGACTTGCCACAGGAAATTACTTTGGTGGTGCAGATGTATCCCGGCGCCAGTGTCTCACAATATGGATTCAACACAGAGCAACATACAGTTGTGTACAATTGGCATCATTTCAACATGCATGTTTATCCTAGAACCATGCACCTTAAGAAATACTGAGACTCATAAAAATCATTGATCCTGGTAAAGCCACTCAGCTTTCTGCTGACAATTATCAGTGAAGCACATACGGCGTTTAGGCTTTATGTGGTCATTGTTTTTCAGAGGGTGTGTTCAAAGCTGACTTGCCTATATTTAAGAAGGAGCTTTATTTTATTGTCATTGTAACACGTACAACAAAATTTTGTTTGGACCCAAGGGGCCGCGGGCTGCTGCGTGCATATGTGCCACCATCACAAGTAACTTGGGGGGCTTCAGTGTCTTGCCCAAGGACACTCTGACACGTGGACTGCAGGCACTGATATTTGAACTTTCAACCTTCCAGTTGGGATACAGCTGCTCTACCCACCGCACCACTGTCACTCCTTAATAACATAAGTAGATTTACAAGCGAGTTTCCCAATACCAGTGGACCTTGTGCAGCCTCTGTCACCATGACAGAAATGTGACTTTTGGCCTTTTTTTGGTTATAATTTTAGAATTTACTATGACCGTTAAATGCAAAACTGAACAATGCCATATAAAGCTTAAAATGTCTCTACACGAGTTCCTCACTTTGTGGCCTTTACATTTATTGTACACTTGGGCATTGCTGTATCTGATGTGCAGTAGTGCCTTAGCTGCATAACAAGAGATTATTCATTATTATTCAAGCATCTTTGTTAAAATCATCATGTAGGAAAACAAACTGCCGGGGATGATTAACAACCTACAAGATAGGAAAGGCAAGCGTTTCTTGTGCACAGAGTGAAGAAAATACATGGTACAGTACAGCAGAAGAAGAGTGACTCAGGACTGTCATGGCTAGAGTGTGATGTCGACTAAATTAATTCAGACAGATCATCCCAATTTAAATGACCATTTAATATTACAATTATTCTGAACAGAGTAGTAGTGAAACAGATAATCTGATAGGGAACAGAGAACGGAGACCAGAGTCACTCCTCCTGCAATGTGATAAAGTAATAAATAAGGCCAACTCACACGCGCCAGTCAGTCCAGTTAGTTGTTGTTGGTCACGAGGTACCGTCAGTTAGTCTTTCTGTCAACCCATAGTCAGCCATCGTTCCCCCCGGCCCTCCAAGGCCGGGTCTATGGTTCACTTTTCACGGTAGCATTGTCATCCTCTTCTCTTCTGCTCTAACCCAGCTATCCTAGCCTTTTATCGAACTTCTAGGTTGCATTGACCTACCGCACATTTCCTTCTTTCTAAATCTGAACAGAGCACACAAATAGTTCACATAAGGCTGAAGCTGCAGCTATATCCATTCCCTATCTAGACTTCCTTGGGATGTTTACCTACAAGTTAAACAAGGGGGACACAGCCCACGATATTCCTGCTTGAGCAAGAAAAGAGAAACAGATCAAGCTTACCTATACACTCAGCTCACCCTTACATCCTTATACAACTAGTACAAATAATATATATATATATGAAGTACATACTGTTCTATTACAGATTACCTCTAGAACCTTGTTTATTTGTAACCACTACAGGACTTACACAAAGCTACTTGTCAGAGCACCACCCCATTTCTTATATCTGTATCCCATATGCAGGGAAGCCAAAAACCTTAACAGTCCTGACCTACTGACACTAACAGTTCCACATATCTGCTTCAGTTACGTACAGTAATAACTGTTTACAGTGGCTTTAGATAAGAAGCTAGTTGTATTTAATCTAATATAAGGAGTTTTATTGGCCAAGTATGTTAAATGCGCAAGAAATTTGTCTCCGCTACAGAACCGAGGCAGCCTTCTGTGGCGCCAACTCACACACACACACAACGTGATGGCGGCACTGTCCCTGGAAGGCCCTGCTCTGGCCATCAGGGGTTCAGAGTCTTGCCCAAGGACACTTCAACATGTGGACAGGGGGACAATGGGAACCGAACTGCTGACCTTCCAGTTAGATGATGGCCACTCTACCTCCTGAGCCACAGCTGCCGCCAAACTGTAAAGCCAGGAATAAATTTGGAGGTAAAATAGAGATGTATTTATATGATAAAACCTGAGTGTTCTTGTGAGGGGTAAACCTACAAACCTCCGCCTCCGATTAAGTGATACAGCAGCTGTGTACATTGTGCCATTGAATCCACTCTAACACTCGCAATGTTAAAAAAAAATCACACAAAATGAAACATCAATCAGCATTTACTGCCAAATGTAATGCAATCAAAACAAATGATAATTTAGAACTATACAACACAGTAATGAACATTAACACAAAAGCATCAGCTCAACAAGTGACTCGCACAGTGGCACTGAAGTATACATACCTCTTTCCGTACTGATGGTGAAAGAAACCTGACTTTAAACTGAGCTTGCAGATGTTTAAGGTCATCCTAACAATGACACTTTTGGCTTTTACAAAGTGTGTTATTTTTAATACTTTTAATTATAAAAACATCATTTTTACAAATTAATAACTTGCTCCAAAACCTGTCAAATTAAAAAAACAAACAAAAAATGGCTGACAAACTCAAAATTTGTATACCTGTTAAACAAATTTGTGAGGCATGAATGAATGGGATGTGTCTATTACAAAAAGTCTGTGTGGAAATTTATTGATTTTACAAATATCAAACAGCTTGTTCTTAAAAGGTGCCCATTTGTGAGTGGGTGGGTTGTCGTTACTTCAGGTCTGTGCAATGCTGTTAGTTTCTAGATGTCAGCTGAATGAGTGCCTAGGCACCAGCGGTTGTGCAAGTTCACACTTCACAGGAGCTGATGAAGACTGGTCTCCCCCCACTTCGGCTGTCTACTGCAGCTCAAGGGTACATTTGTTTTAAGCTTCGTGCAGCCCGAGTAGTTTGTGTGTCGCTCTGTGTTAACAGGATACAAAGATGCTGTTGTGAGGATGTTATGTTCTAGTGGAAAACAAAATAAGTGATCTGAAAATCTGGAGCAGAATCTTGGACAAGGAGTTTTGTTTTAGTGCAATGAACCTACAGTTGTTCTCTGAACTGAACAAAGCCTTTGTCATTCAGTTCATCAGCCTGCATGTTCATGAAACTCAAGTTCACATTACTTAGTTGCAAAGTGAACCATTCAGTTCATCGTTCAAAATGAAAAATGAACGGCACTTTTTGAGCGTGCTCATGCAAAAGTCTGAGGGGCGCACTGTTATTATACTGACTCCCACCAGTCGTGAAAATAATGCTCCTATCTGGTTAGAAATGAGACAGAAACACCATGTAGGTTTGGGTCTTTGTCTTAAGCGTGTTGAAATGTTGCTGTGTGTTCATCCTCTGAGCCACCATATATCCACAAAGGGTGCTTTTCTCTGTGGTTCTTGTTGTCAATCAAGTACACAGCTCCTGCACTGATGCAGCACAGACCTTAAATCCACACAAGGCTGTCACCCGCTGCAAGCGCATCAACAGCTTCTGCTTTGAATGTGCACAGGTGTAAGGAAAAGATGTCAGCCCTGGAGGTTAAAGGTGCGGAGGCAGTGACTGGAGCAGCAGTAGGCAACAAAACTTACAGTTGTCCTAAACAGAAAAAAAGTGAGGAAAAGGTGTGACATGGGTGCGCATTTCTGTTTAGCTGTTAAGAATTAATTTACAAATATAAAATAAGGTTTGTAGTTATCTTTCAACATCAACATGAAAAAGAGGCAAGTTGCTATCTTGTTAGCACTAGCTTGTTTTAGCCATACATGTATTTTTGAAACCTGGATTCAGCGTCGCCATTAAGCCAATTTTCCTCCAGCAGCCAATGGTGGTACTGCAACAAATAAAATCCTCATGTGGCCCAAGAAGCATTTTCTCCGTAAACCACACTAATAAAAAAGACATCTTTAAAAGTCTTGACAGAACACCCAGAACTATAAACAAGGATAATTATTGCTCTTTGTATTATGAATTTTTAATCCATGGAGGCTATACATTTGTAAAATTTCCCAAAAGCATAGAAATCTGAGTTTTATTTTGGTGATGTCATCGTGGCAGTGGGGGAAACACTAATGTGCGTGTGAAGTGGGCCGCACAACGTGAATGCAAAACCAGAAGAGAACACTTTTTCGTCATTGTGGCAGGTGAGAAACTTTCATTCAAGTGGCTCAGTGTCATGTTTCAGTCCAGAATCCAGGTTTTCCTTAATACATCCATGGCTGTAGCTCTGTAGGTAATCTTACATGGAAAGGAAGTTGCGACTTTTCTAACCTGCGGTGCACTCCTGCCAGGGCGGTGTCACGGAGGGGAAAGAGGGATAGATGATGGTGAACATAGCTTGACTGCAGCGGTGACAGTGTCCCAGGGGGAACTGCAGCAGATCCAGCAGGCTCTTTGGGAGAGTGTTGGCAGGCTGCAAGTTGAGCTCTAAGCACACAACAGTACAGGTCAGATTTATAAAAGTAAGCAGAGAGATGATAAGAATGTTCAGCCTCACTGTTAAAAATGTAGTGGACAAAACAGTAACACCTGTAGTATACTACATTGTATCACAGTACAAGGCAATGCAATTCAACAACTCAAACTATATCCTCCGAAATGACCATATGTTAAATCAACACCTGCCTAAAACATCCATCCATTTTCCTCCGCTTATCCGGAACCAGGTCACGGGGGCAGCAGTCTAAGCAAAGATGCCCAGACTTCCCTCTCTCCAGACACTTCCTCCAGCTCCTCCAGGAGAATGCCAAG